AACAAAGAGCATAAAGACAGCTCAGTGAGTCAGCCCACCTGGCTCTGACTCCCACCTTGAACTTGAAGCAGCAAATGAAGTCCAGGGTTTGGTACCCAAGAGGGAAGGTGGGGAAGGTCTGACGATTGCCTGAGGCGGAAGAAGGAACTGTTGACCCTGTATGTCTCATTTACCTTCTCCATCAAAGGGTTTGAATTATCAATGGGTGCTCAAACATTTTTTTGAGACAGAGTTTCACTCTCGTCACCCAGGCTGGAGTGCAATGGCATGATCTCAGTTCACTGCAACCTCTGCCTCCCGGGTTCAAGCGATTCTCCTGCCACAGCCTCCCGAGTAGCTGGGAATACAGGTGCTGGCCACCTTGCCTAGCTAGTTTTTGTATTTTTAGTAGAGATAGCGTTTCATCATGCTGGCCAGGCTGGTCTTGAACTCCTGACCGCAGGTGATCCACCTGCCTCAGCCTCCGAAAGTACCGGGATTATAGGCGTGAGCCACCGTGCCCAGCTGCCCAAACATTTTACAATTAGAATCTCTTTTTATAAGCAAAATTTTCCACATAAGCTGACAGTGTGCCACTTTCCTCTGTGATCTGCTTCATTTCACAGATTCCTTAGAACAGCTCCATGAGACAGGTACTCTGAATACTCCCACTTTACAGATGGGGAAGCTCAAATGCAGAGAGGTTGGGCAACACGCCCAAGGTCAATGAACGCAGAACTGCTGCAGTGGGAGCGGGGTGGGTGACACCCACTAGGAAGGCGCTTTCAAACTCCTACTGCTCCAAGGAGCAAGCTAGAAAATCCCATTTCTCAGGCCCCTTCCACTAGGACACACTATGAGCTTAACACTGCTAAGAACTCACTGAGAAATGGTGACATTTGGGGGCGGCTCCTTCAGTGCTTTGTTTGGCTTCTTTTTAAAATTATAAATGGTGGTTTGAAAGTTGTTGGAAGGGGGAAAATCAGATGAAGAATCAGGGATGTGGCTGAAGCAGTCAGTGTAGCAGAGAAGCAATGTAGCTGTCAGCAGCCTACCCAGGCCCCCAAATGGGCACAGCCCTGCATTTCTGGCCTGAGGCCTGCCAAGGTCTTAGGTGAACTTCAGCGCTTTCTACAGCACCCCTGTCTCAGCACTCTTTTGCGGATGTCCTGATTGGCTGGGAGATTGTTGTTTCCTGATACAGTGGTGATTACTTCTGAAAGATGGGGTAATACCAACAGCTATCATTTCTGACCATTTACTGTGCAGCATCACTGTGCAAAGCATTTTTATACATATCCTATTGAATCCTCTCAAAACTCCTGTGAGGCAAGCAGGCACCCCAGTGGCCTCATCCTAGTTCTGGCCCTGGTGACATTATGATTGCCTCCATCCTCCACTTGACAGGTACAGAAACTGAGGTTCCGGGAGGTGAAGTAAATTCCCCCAGATCACACAGCTAGCAAACAGCTGAGCTTCTACGCTCATCCTAAGACTCAGTTGAAATGGATTTTTTAAAAGATGTATTTTGGGCTCTTCACTATACAGAAAACGGAATTTGCCTATCACTAAGGTTACTAACAGGCCTAACATCTGTGAAAACTCATCTATCAGCTGGTCCTGAAATGTTCTGAAATGAGTCTGAGTGCAAGATGCCTGTGACAACTGAATAGTTTAAAAAATTCTCCATGGGAGCTGAACCCCTATTAAGACAGATCTTTATTTTTGTTCCTGAATGCCACATTTAGAAACAAAATGTCATATTTTAATATAGGAATGTCACAAGTGACAAAGCATATGTTGCAACTTGGCTTCTAATGGTTGTAAAAAAAAAAAAAAATGTAACCTTAGTCACTTGAATCTGCTCTTCCCTAGAAAACAATTGTAAATGTAATAAGCGACAAGAATAGAAAATGCCCACAGGGGGAAAAAATGATCCATCTGGGGTCAGAGCCATGATGTAGATTGATTCATTCTTCTAGCATTCTTATTCAGGAAGGAAAACTTGAACATTTTCTAGACTTTAGAATATTGAAGATTTGCAAGGAGTTGGGGGAAAGGGAAAAGGAATGAAATTTCAGTCCCACTGGCAGGGATCAAATAGAGATTTCCTCAACTTTTAAAGAACCGTTTTACATGTCCCAATCACCTCACAGTTCCTGAGTCTCTCTTCTGCATAAGGCATGTACTAGTTGTTATGGGAGGATACAATAAGGTCATGATTGCTTTAAAATTATTCATAATAAGAACACATTTTGAGACTTGATTCTAACTGTTAAACTTAAATTTGAGCAATTTAATTGCCCATTGAATAGGAATGAAATCCCACCGGCAGGCAGTTATTTCTTACAACCACTGTGTGTGAAATTGAAATCTTAAGATACCATTTCAAATATTCACCTTCTCTAAGGAAGTTCTCCCCAAAGAGTTGTGCAAGATAAGAAACTGACCCAAAGTCATATGCAGTAATCTCTTTTTCTTTACACTCTCAGGTCAAAGTAGAAGCATATTATTAAAAAGAAACTTTATGCCCTGAAGTTGGCTGTTCCGAGGTTACCTCTTGGAACCCAAGGATATATTTATTTTAACAACTGACTTAAGCCCCATGCAGAACTGTAACAAGGAAAGTAATAATTTATCAGATTAAATAAAAACAAGGAGATGTGGCCAGGCACGGTGGCTCACGCCTGGAATCCCAGCACTTTGGGAGGCCGAGGCAGGTGGATCGCCTTAGGTCAGGAGTTTGAGACCAGCCTGGCCAACATGGCGAAACCTCATCTCCACTAAAAATACAAAAAATTAGCTGGGCGTGGTGGTGGGCACCTGTAATCCCAGCTACTTGGGAGGCTGAGGCAGGGAGAATTGCTTGAACCCAGGAGGCGGAAGTTGCAGTGAGCTGAGATTGCACCATTGCACTCCAGCCTGGGCATCAGAGAGAGACTCCATCTCAAAAAACAAACAAACAAACAACACCCAAGCAGATGCAAACAGGTCATTTAGTCACCACTATAATGACCATGAAAATAGAAAACACTTACATGTTTTATTTAGGAGAAGGGGGTGAGGTGAAGGGATCCTGTTTCCTGCTTTTACAACACAGGAAATAGTTTCCAAATTTGGGTGGGCAAGTCTTATTTTAAACCCCCATTTCGGCCGGGCGCGGTGGCTCAAGCCTGTAATCCCAGCACTTTGGGAGGCCGAGGCGGGTGGATCACGAGGTGAGAAGATCGAGACTATCCTGGCTAACATGGTGAAACCCCGTCTCTACTAAAAATACAAAAAATTAGCCGGGCACGGTGGTGGGCGCCTGTAGTCCCAGCTACTTGGGAGGCTGAGGCGGGAGAATGGCGTGAACCCGGGAGGCGGAGCTTGCAGTGAGCCGAGATCACGCCACTGCACTCCAGCCTGGGAGACACAGCGAGACTCCGTCTCAAAAAAAAAAAAAAAAAAAAAAAAAAACCCATTTCACCTTTAAATTTAATGTCAAGCTCTTTTAAAATTATCTTCATGATGCCCTTTGCCATAACATAGCAGCTGCCATTTATGAGTGCTTACTATATACCAGTTGCTTTTCATGCAAGCAACCTCATATCTGTTATTACCCCCATGCCATTACAAATCTATGTGCCACCCTTTTGTGCACTACTCATATAATCCCCGCAATAACTTAGGCAATAGGATCTGTCATCTCCATTTTACAGATGAGGATACTGGGAGTTTATTTTATTTGTTTGTTTGTTTATCTGTTTATTTATTTTGAGACAGAGTCTCGCTGTGTCACCCAGGCTGGAGTGCAGTGGCAGTCTTGGCTCACTGCAACCTTCGCCTCCCGGGGTTCAAGCAATTCTCCTGTCTCAGCTGCCCGAGTAGCTGGGGTTACAGGCATGTCCCACCACACCCGGCTAATTTTTGTATGTTTAGTAGAGATGGGGTTTCGCCATGTTGGGCAGGCCAGTCACGAACTCCTGACCTCAAGTGATCTGCTCACCTTGGCCTCTCAAAGTGCTGGGATTCCAGGTGTGAGTCACTGAGCCTGGCCAGGATACTGGGAGTTTAAATTCCTGCTGTGAGCCCAGGTTCACACAGGTGGTCAAGGGTGGGCTAGAATCCAGGTAGCCTGACTCCAGAGCTACTACCACATACTGCCTCCTCAGATTAAATAATTTTCCTAGGCCATGCTAGCTGATACGTTTCAAGAGTCTAAATCAAACCCAGGCAGTTGGGTTCCAAAATTCCAGCATTTAACCACCACATTGACTGGTTAAAGTAGGTAAACTGTTCATCACAACCTATATGTTTATTTTCATTTCTGTTAGAAATGAAAGTAGTGTGGTAGTGTGGTAGGTTACATATTTATCACATAGTTTCGGCTTGCCTAAAATTCTAAGAATTTTATTTTTTAGATTAAAAACAAGGGTCTATTGGGAAAAAAAAAAAAAAATTTTTTTTTTTTTTTTTTTGAGACAGGGTCTCACTCTGTTCCCCAGACTGGAGGGCAGTGGTGCGATCATGGCTCACTGCAGCCTCAACGTCCTGGGCTCAAGCAATCCTCCCACCTCTGCCTCCTGAGTAGCTAGGATTTCAGGGAAGCACCACCACACCCAGCTAATTATTTTTCTTTTTTCTTTTTTGTAGGAATGGGGGCTCACTGTGTTGCTCAGGCTAGCCTGGGCCTCCCAGAGTGCTGGGATTACAGGCATGAACCACCAAGCACAGCCGTAAAAAAGTCTTTTTGTATACTGAAGGCTCCACTTGGACAAAAATTTGCTCTTAAGGCTTTCTTTGAGATACACACACACACACACACACACACACACACACACACACAGCTTTTGATTATACCCATGAGGGACCCAAGCCTTGGGACACAGGGACCAGAAAATGACAAAAGCATGTAGGCAGTAGTAAACTATGGTTATACTTGTAACAAGTCATGAAGCTTTGGCTCTGAACAGGGAAAATGAAGCACTCAGGGATTCACTTCTGACTTCAACTACCATCTTTCAGGGTGAGCTCATCCAGGCCCATGTGCCATCTTGAAAATGGGAACAAAAATGTATGCCTATGATCCAGACTGATCATATAAAACTATGGATCCTGAAAGTACGTTCCCTCTTTGCAAGCCTTAGTGACTGGCATCACGCACAAATAGGCCTTTCAGTTTCTGAACGCAGATATTTTCAAGGACCTCTGAGGCCCAGGAGAGACAAACGTTTTCTCCATGGAAGGGCAGACTATTGGCCTCCCCTCTCTTACCCTCTGTGTTCCCACCTCTTTCTAGAAGGAGGCTGAGAGGGGAAGCCTGAAACCCCAAATCAAGTCCGCCTTCTTTCTCTGTGCCTGACCCAGGGCAAAATAATCTCCCTAATACTGTTCTGGATCACTGGAAAAACACTTTCTCTGGTCGGGGTACTACTGGCACTTTACATGGGGGGCAGTTTAACCGCAGGAGTCCGCTCTCTGAAAGGTGCTGAGGGAGGGGATTCTGACACCAGCCGACTGAGAGGAGCCCTGGCCCCACGAAGTCCCTCCCAGCCACCCTCCCTCTGGGATTAGCTGCCCTGACTCTGCTCAGGCGTCCCCAGCCCGTGCAGTCCCGGCTCGCGCACCCCCATCGCCTCTGCAGAGCGCGGCCGCAGCCTGGAGCCCGCAGCCGGTAGCCCGCAGAGCCGCGCTGTCCGGGGCATCCCGGTGCTCGGCGTCCGTGGACCTGGGATCTCGAACCTGGGACGGGCTCAAAATCCACTCGGAACACTTGCATTTCTGTAGGTGCTTATTTCACATTCTTGTTTTTTCTTGCTTGCTCGAGCTGTTCGTGGGTTACTTTCTGCCTTAGTTAAACCAAAAGGGAAAGGCTGAAGGGGGGAAGCCCTGAAGAATTATTTAGTGGCTGCCCAGCCTCCTCTCCAAGGAGAGGTGTTAGCTGAGCGGATCTCCCCGTCCCCGACACTGGCCCCTTTAAGAAGCCAAGTCAGTCCTGATGCTGCTGTTTGTATTGCTAATCCCCAGGAGCCCCGTTAAAAAAAAAAAAAAAAAAAAAAAAAAAAACAGAAAAAGAAAAAAGGGGAGGTGGGGGAACCGGGCAGCTGTCTCTTTAAATGTGATTTCCTTCTATTGTATTTGAATCGTGATCAGGAAAAAGGAAATGAAACCAGAGACAGAGGGAAGCTGAGCGAAAATAGACCTTCCCGAGAGAGGAGGAAGCCCGGGGAGAGACGCACAGTCCCCTCCCCGCCCCCAGGCCGCCGCCCCCGTTCTGCCCTCCGCGGCGAGCAGCGCCCGCTACCCGGGCCGAAGGTGCGAGGGGCTCGGGGCGGCCGGGCGGGCGTGCACCATCCCCGCGGGCGGCGCGGAGCCGGCGACAGCGCGCGAGAGGGACCGGGCGGCGGAGGCGGCGGGACCGGGATGGAAGGTTAAGTCCTGAGCAGCAGCAGCAGCTGCAGCCGCCCGGGGCCAGGCTGCGCGCCCCGGCCCCCGCCTCGGCCGCGGCGCGCCCGCAGCCCGGTGATTCGCTCTCTCTCTTTGGCATTTGAAGGGAGCGCGGTGACTGTCCTTGAGCGCGGAGGGGCGAGCTCGCCGCCGGAGCGCCGGAGCAAGCGGAGGCGCAGGAGCGGCGGCGGCGGCGCCCGAGCACCCGAGGGGGTCCGAGCCCCGGCAGCCGGCCAGCCCCGCGCCACAAAGGGAGCGCCCCTGCCGCCCGGCACGCCGCCTCCCTCCCCAATGTCCTCGGCCATCGAAAGGAAGAGCCTGGACCCTTCAGAGTAAGTGCGGCGCCCCTGCCCCTGCCACCCCCGGTGTCCACGGCCTCGCGTCCCGGAGCGGCTGGGGGACCCGGGCGGCCCTCGAGGGGACTCCAGGTGCGCGCCTGCGGCGTGCTCTTGGCCCCCTGTGCGGAGCGCTGGGCTCCCTCTTCCTCCCGGGTGACTTCGGGGGCGCTGGGAGAGGGACTGGGCGGTGGGCGGCAGGGAGAGGGGTCGGCTCGGCGCCTCTGCGGGCCACTCCAGGCTATCAGGACGCTGCCTAAAGCCACCGCGGGCCAGAAAGTTTGCACGGGAGCAGGCACAAGGGGAGCCTGGCGGCGTGCAGGTGCAGTCCGGAGAGCGTTCCGTGCTTGACTCGGCTCCCTTCTCACCTCTCCTTCTCGGCCCTTTCTCTTTGTCCATTTGGTCTTGGAAAGGGGAACATTCCAAGTGGAGGCCTCCAGGGTCCCCAGCGGCCGCCTTCCCGGTCCGCAGGTGGAGCCGCTGCCAGCCGCGCGGGTAACGGGCGGGTGAGGGGTCCGACCGTCCACCTCGGAGCTGGCTCTGGGCCTCCGGGGCTTTCTAGAGCAGCGAAATCCGGAGTAAATCTGAGTACGTGTAGCCCTCCTCGGGGTCCACCGATGGGGGCCTGTGAACCTCGAAAGTTAATGCACCATTTTGTGTACAGGTGAATTCTTCTAGGGAGTAGAGTCTCGTAGTTTTTAGCATAGTCTCAAAAGGGTTTGGGGTCAGGGAACCAGAGCTCTAATGAGCATTGACCGCATCTGTTTTCTGAGCCTCGTACTGGTTTGGAATGTTTTTCTATCTCTCACCAATTCTTTAGTGTTAACATGGGTAGCAAGGGGTGTTTAAGATATCATTTTCCTGTCAACGCAAATGCCCTTTTAAGAGTCATTAGCTGTCTGGTTTTGAGAATTTTTATTCCTTTGAAGTCCCCCTCTAATCCTTTGAAGGGATTTGTTACACAAGACCAAAGGAGCTGGTTAATGACTTGTCCATTTGTGCTTTTAAGAGACATTTGTTTTGTTTTTTCTTTTCCTGGTTTAAAAGAATTGTGCTTTCCTGCTTGAAATACCGCACACACACACACATACACCCTTCAATTTCGGCTTTCTATGGTGTTTATTTACCTGGGTTTTACCCTCAGTTAGCAGCATAAAAGCTCAGCATGTTCTCATAAAACACAGGAAGTACCACCATCCAATGAGAATATAAACATCACTATTCCGTCTTGAAGGTTAAGACACCAGTTCTGTAATGAGCTAGGTTTGTTGTAGCAAAAACCCCCACTTCCTTCAACAAATTCTCAGGAGAAAAATAACATTTCTTTTTAAAAGTATGTTTATGTCAACAATGGGTTTAAAGGGTGGTTTGATCACTTTTTAAAAAATAAACTTAAAATTACAACTGAGCTTTGAGTTTCAGAGACTGGGCAAGATCATAGTAACACAATAAGGGAGTGAATTGGATGAATTGGTGCCTCATGCCTTTTTGATCAGCAGAATTTAGTCACTAATCCTTTCAATAGAAGGTAAATCTGAAGGTTTCATTTCCCTGAAGGAAGTTTGCGTCTTTCAAAGTTTGTGCTTTTTCACTGAGGTTAGAAAACTGAAACATCCTAACTTCCTAACACAGCAGGTATCTACTGCTGGAGGCTCACCAGCTCCTTCCTTCACTTCACTATTTGCCCAGCGAAGATAGTTTCTGATCAAAGAGGGACAAGCTAGTTGAGAAATTGCAGCAGCACATTCTCCACCCCCTTAGAAATTGTTATGATTATCCCAGAAATCCAGGCTGAAATGATACTCAGGTGTAATATTCAAGATAAGGGTCTGGGAGAATATAAAATATTAATTTGAGGGTGAATCAATCTCATTCATTGTCTTGGATTGCCCACTAAGTATAATGTGATATTATCAATTAATTATAGAAAGACAGAGCCAATATCTTATACTTTACTTCTCCATCTCATCTCAGGCCATCACCATAACTCTTTTACTTTACGTTCCTCCTGTTGTCCAGTATCCTACTAGATGCTTCATTGTGTACTTCCTCAAAGCCGACTTGGGTCATTGCAATCAGCATCTCCAAATTACAGATGGAGACTTGCCTAGCTATATGCAAATGAAACATTTGGACAGAAAGCCAGCCAGAATTCATGAACACAGAGATTCCCTTGCTATGCCACTGGTGGCCCCCACTGCCTCCCCTGTGAGTAACAAGAGCAGTTCATTTGAATTCCAGGCAGTTTTGCACCAGCTAAGGGCAAATTATCCTCTTTCACAGTCCTTTGGCAGCATCTGCATCGGGACATCCAATGTCTGTCGAGGTCCCATGAGTGGTTTTGAAAGCCCAGAGTAAGACCATGGGCTGTGGAAAGAGAAGAGATGCAATTCCGAGTTGATACACATAAAAACGCTAGGTTATTACTTATTAGAAGGGAAAATGGCAGTCCTTATATACAATCTGTAGAAACAAAGGAAAGAAAGCAAGGCTTCAGTGAATGAAACCCTGTCTCTACTAAAAATACAAAAAATTAGCTGGGCCTGGTGGCGGATGCCTGTAATCCCAGCTACTTGGGAGGCTGAGGCAGGAGAATGGCGCGAACCCAGGAGGTGGAGCTTGCAGTGAGCCGAGATCGTGCCACTGCACTCCAGCCTGGGCAACAAATTTGTAGCAAGACTCTGTCTCAAAAAAAAAAAAAAAAAGAAACTATAGTTTTGATTTTTTTGAGCTAGGGTCTCACTGTGTTGTCTAGGCTAGAGTGCAGTGCTCACTGCAGCCTCAACTTCCTGTACTGAGGTGATCCTCCCACCTCAGCCTCCTGGGTAGCTGGGACTACAGGCTCATGCCACCAAGCCTGGGCAATTTTTTATATTTTTTGTAGAGACAAGATTTTGCCATGTTGCCCGGGCTGGCCTCAAACTCCTGGGCTCAAGTGATCCTCCTGCCTTGGCCTCCCAAAGTGCTGGGATTACAAACGTGAGCCACTATGCCTGGCCATTTTTTTTTTTTCCCAGATAAACTAACTTGAACTTCACATTTTCTTGTTCCAAAGATGATAATCTCATGAAGTGCTATTACACTGTATCTAGAAAGTGTGGGCATGGCTTTAACACTTCTAAATATTCACAAGAAAGGCTTCATTCTTCACATGACAGAATCCTCTGAAGTTGTCAAGAGTGTTATAGACATTGAGCCACCTAGCCTCCTGTCCCCAAGTATAATGACTGCTGGGCTTTGTGGGCTCAGACCAATTAGGACACAAGGTCACCTGGTAAGTTAGTACTAGTTAGAAATAGGAGACGTGGATTTATACCTGCAGGGCACCCAGGAGGAAACTCCCTTTGGGAATTTTACAGTTGGAAGAAGGTCTGGTTTTTGAAACATAATAGATTTTTAAGAAATAGATTTGTGTTTAAGGTTCCAGAGAACACTTGCTAATTATTACAAATCAACAAGTATTAAGTGTTTCCTGTGTCCCATTTGGGGGACACTAGAATAATTCCTTCCACTCGTTTATTTTCTTTTAGCAAAATTATTTATTTTTAAATGTTAAAAAAGTACTCAGATTCCAGTGAAGCAAAGTGAACAAGAGATACTATGCATGGCACATTAATGAAAGAACGCGTGTCACAGCCTATTAACAATTGCTGGATTGAGATGTCAATGACTGTTTAATTGCCTTCCACTCTCTTTGAAATAATCATTGCCCCCACTTCATTTTCTTCCTCAAATCAACTTTATCCGAATCAGCTTTACTGTTATAAAAATGTTCAGGTAAGGAAAGAAAGGCCTATTTGATGTTCTTCATAAGTGTAACAATGGCCTTACGATATGGGATTTTCCTCCAAGTATTCCTTCAGTAGGAAGAATGGAAAATGGAATTTCTGTAAAAGAGTAAAACTAGGAGAATTCCTATTATATCCTGATGGAATTTTTATTTTGGAAAGAGAAAGCAGCCTAAAATAATTTTTGGTCTCATTCTTCTTTCTTCCTCACCTCTGCTTTTGTGCGGGTGGGAAGGGCTGGAGGGAGGATGGCACTTTATTCAACAGGGGATTTGCAGATTCTTAGCTCTCTGGGTCGTCCGCTGCCCTGGTGGTGAGCGACTCTTTTAGTCCAGGGTGCCTCCTCTGAGGTTAGGCAGTGCCCTTGGGTTCAGGGTATAGGAGGAGGAAAATGAGGGAAATCTGTGAAGACAGAGAGGGAGAGTCAGCGGGGAGAGAGGGAAAAAGCAGAAGGAGACCAGAGGTGCCCAGGTAGTGCTGGGCATGGGCCAGGGGCACAGTGCCACCTGCAGTTGCCTTTGATGCCTCTTGGTGCCTTGTGTTGACTTCTTAGAGATCTAGGGAGTAAGGTCTGGCTCTCTCCCGTCTTAACCCAAGGTTGGTTGGGATTCTGCAATCTGGCCAAGGGATGTGTTGTCCTGTCCCTTCTCCCTTAGGTCACCAAAAGGCAGTCAGGTGAGGTACCCTGTCTGGCCCAAAATGATCTGGGACCCCCGGTGCTGGTCTCACCCTGGTGAGGCTGTCCCTGATGCTTGGCCTTCTCTCCAGGGAACCAGTGGATGAGGTGCTGCAGATCCCCCCGTCCCTGCTGACATGCGGCGGCTGCCAGCAGAATATCGGGGACCGCTACTTCCTGAAGGCCATCGACCAGTACTGGCACGAGGACTGCCTGAGCTGCGACCTCTGTGGCTGCCGGCTGGGCGAGGTGGGGCGGCGCCTCTACTACAAACTGGGCCGGAAGCTCTGCCGGAGAGACTATCTCAGGTACTCTCCGCGGCACTCCACTGGGGCCCTCGGAAGGGAGGCTGGGGGGTCCTTGGACATCTGCAGTCTGTGCATGTTGCCCCCGACCCTGTTCCAGGCTTAGACACCACCTATAGAAAGAGGTCAGGCTGCAGAAACTGAGTCTCAGCTCCCCTGCCGGGAAGCAGAGGGCATTTCTTCCTGTTTGAGAAGCATATTTTCAGGGTTACGTTCCTATGTGGTAAAATACTAATATCTTTAAAGGCAAGAGAATTGTAACCCCAAAATTCAGAGTTGTTCCCTTGGGGAGCGGGAGAAGCCAGGGGATGGGGTTGAGGAGGAGTACGCACGGAGGATCAGAGGAACTGGGAGTGTTTCTAACTTAGGAGGTGGGCTCTGAGGACCTCATTTGAATGCTTCAGAACACACACACACACACACACACACACACACACACACACACACATATATATATGTTATAAATATTCTTTTGTATGACTCCAGTATTATATGATGAGAAATTTAACAATAGAAAGCATGTGGAGCTCCAAGCATTGACTCATAGCAGAAAGGCAGTCTTTGAAGAACAGAAGGCAAAGGCCCTGCAGGCAGTTGGAGGTTCGAGTCCCAACACCGTTGCTTCCTAGTGGCCTTGGGAAAGTTACTTAACCTTCCTAAGACTCGATTTCCTCATCTGTAAAATGGGGATCATAATAGCACCTACCTCTAAGGATGTGGGGAGGATTTGATGGAATAATGCAGATAAACTACTTGACTCGGTATGGATCAAATAGATGTTAGCTGCTCTTATAACTTATCCTTATGACGTAATCATTATTTTCCAATCTAATGAGCAAAGGGATGGAAGAATGGAAGGGTAAAATAGGAACTCGACCACGCCAAGTAAAACAGGAGCTGAGGACATCTCCCATGCTTCCGTTGGCCATCCGAATTTTCCAGCACTCTGTGAATGCCTTTGCCTAGAATGTACTAGCGTTTCTAGTTTCCGAGGAGCTGCTGTGGAGGTAACTCTCTGTGCCCTCTACTGTCAGATCTGCTCAACTGTGTAGCTGTCAGGATTTCTCCGTCTTCCTGGAGCAGAGGGTCTATGAGGCATGCTTCCCTGATGCACCCAGACCATCCAACCCATGGAAGCTTGTTGAGACCTCAGCGCCCTTGGCTGCTGGGCCAGCTTTTCCCCTCGAACCTGCCCTCGGAGCATTTGACGTTACAGAAACAAAACCAAACCGAAAAACTGCAGGCAGTTTCACAGTGAAGGAGGCTTTACCTAAAGACTGATGGAAGAAGCCTTTTGTCCTTCTTGAATTCCCAGATAAAGTCCTTGCAGTCCTTGCAGATATGGTGGTTCCGAGAAAATAAGTAGGGTTTTGCAATGATCATGCTTATAATTTTGGTCAGTTTTCCTTTTTTTAAGTCCCAAAAAATAGAACTGGGATAAATACAGACCTGGTTTTGCTCACTCCCACTTTGCCAAGTCAGTGAGAAGGCAGACGGGTAAATGAATCCCATCGGACCCTTGACTCCATCCCTGTCAAATCATTTGAATCTTATTAAATGAAGTGCAGATTGAGTAAGGTCAGAAGAGCCCCGGCTTCTCCCTATCTCTACCGTTTTATATAACATTCAGGAATAAAACCATTGCTGCCTGGGCTTGTTAATCCTTTCCATTTTCAAAAAGGAGAGGAAGGAAAAAAAAAAAAACAGTCTGGGAGAACCCAATGTTAATTAACTTGTGTCTTGGTGACATGAAATAATTCTTCTCCCTGCCACATTCCTAGGCAACATGTTAATTAACTCTGCGTTAGTGCAGGCATTTCCAGCCATCCTTTAACATTTATATTATTGTTATTAAAATGGGCAGCAGAGAGCTTAAGATGGGACACCTCTTGACAGAGGAGAAAAATTGTCTTTTGCTTCAGGGATGGTCCTTTAGCCAAGATCTTGTTTACTTGCATTCTTGGTATATCTGGCAGGATCTTTGAACAGGCAAGTTGGAAGAGTGACTGTAATGGGGTTGAATTCTAATTCACCCCTAGGATAACTTGTCCCCATGAGGATTTCCAGTGGCTGAGTTGCCTGTTACAGTTCTTTTCCGACATTTCGCTTCAAATATTCATGAGACCCCCATGCGGAACCTCAACTCTGCTGTGTTGTTGGGAACCTGGGAGCAACTGTTCATGTCTGTGCTGAGCCAGAGCTCCTTGGATCCCTTTTCACTAATTCTAGTGTGCTGGGAGTGGTGGGGTGGTGGTGATGGCAGTGGTTTTGCTTTTAACAGCCAGCACCTGAATCTGTTAGAGCCTGAAGTATGCCTGCCCCCGCTACACCCCCAACGGACCTTAACCAGTGACAGACATGGTAGGAGTACCAAGCCCTGCAGCCTTGCCTGAAGCCAGGCATGACTTATATTCCAGAGTCCCTCCCCTCTGAGGGACTTTGCCTGAGGTTACAACTTGGCTTGGCCTCCTCCCCTTCCCTCCAGCCTCCCCTGCTGCCTTCCAGGTTTTTCCTGAGAATGCATCATTCATAAATCACTGGCACATAAATCCTTGCCTCAGGGGCCACTTCTGGCATATCCAGCCTAGGATACCAATTCTTGGTGCCAGAGGTTAATGTTCAAGTAAGGTGTCAATTCCTGGCTTATTTTTTGCTAATACTAGAATCTCAGAATCCCAGAGCTGGAAAGGGCTACAAGGGCCTTCTCTTTCAGTTCCCTTGCTTTACGGCTTAAGTCACGGAAGCCTGTGCAGGGGACTCCGTTTGCTCAGGTCACCTGGTAAGTTAGAGGTGATGCTGGGACCTGAACTTGTCTCTCACATATTCGTCCTTTGTCCTTCCCTTCATTAGCTGCCTGATGTGGATTGTAATTTACCCCCTGACTTCCCTTTAATAAGCTCCCTCCTTCCTTAAGGATCGCCCACCCCAGGCGGTTGGATTCATGCCATGCACACTGTTTTCTCAGTCGTTCATCCTTGCTCAGGCCCAAACTTAACTTACAGAACAGTCAGGAAACCAGAACTGTCTTTCCACTCCGTGACCTCCAATGTGGCGGTTACCTGCCGCTCCACCATCTGCTACGTTGGGATAAAATGTTCTCCCCCAGTAATGAGTTTGCTCCCAGGCGGTGCTTTGGAAACACTCGGAAATCTTCAAATGGAAAGCAGGATTCGGAGGAAAATTAGCTGGCCCTGGCCCGAACAATGAGCTCTCCACTCATGGACCACCTCTTCTCAATTCCATTAATTTTGCCCAAATATTGCAAAATGTGTCAACTGCCCTTACGTCTCCTACAACCTCTCAGAATGTACCAATTGATTCTCTGATATCCTGAAATCAATCAGAACTTCCAGTAAGAGCAAGCACTCACCTAAAACTGTCCTAAAGGTTTTATGTAGAAACCACCTGCTAACATGCTATGTTTTCAGCCACGAGTGAAAATTACTTCCTGCAGCAAGACTGGTGCAGCTGGGAATACACCCAAAATGTGTTAAAACATAAGCAGCGTTGGCTTAGCCCTTGACCATGGGTGCCCTGACATGCTTCGTTCGGTTGTTCTAACAGCTGAGTGGGGTGGAGCCTATGATGGCTGCTGTTTCACTGAGGCTTAGAATCAGAGGTCTCTCCAGGGTCACTCAGGGCTGGACCAGGACATTGAAGCTGGGTCTACTCTGCTTCCGGTACTTGTGTTACTGCACTTTTGCTGTTGATTCTCAAATGTCAGCCTGCATCCAGTCCCCCGGAAGTGTTCGTTAACACAGACTACTGGGCCTTCTCCCCAGGGTGTTTCAGTTGGGTAGGGAGAGAGGAGGGCTGAGAATTTGTTGGGTTTTTTTTTTTTTTTTTTTGAGTCAAGGTCTGGCTCTGTGACCCAGGCTGGAGTGCAGTGGCATGATCTCGGCTCACTGCAACCTCCACTTCCCGGGCTAAAGCCTCCCACCTCAGCCTCCCAAGTATTAATAGCTGAGACTAGAGGCATGCACCACCACACCCGGCTAATTTTTGTATTTTTTGTAGAAACAGAGTTTCACCATGTTGCCCAGGGCGGTCTCAAACTTGTGAGCTCAAGTGATCTGCCTGCCTCAGCCTCCCAAAGTGCTGGGATTACAGGTGTGAGTCACTGCGCCCAGCCTGAGAAATTGTATTTCTAACAGGTTCCCAGGCAGTGCTGATGCTGCTGGTCCCAGGACCAACACTTTGAGAACCACTGCACTGAGCCCTGCCATGTTCTATCTCCCACCTTGACACTGAATACTGCCTGAAATAAGTGACTGATCAACTGAGGCTTGGCAGAGTCTTGGTTTAAATGTCAGAAAAAAAGTTTCACTTTTGATTCATGACAATGGGGCAGCAAGGGCCGTGAATTAAGATCTTCCATTCATGGCGGAGAGATGCTGTTTGTCCTCTATATCTCAGAGGCGCGATTAGCTGTACTGCGTGATTTCTGTGGAAGTCCCTGTCTCCCAGCAGCTGGGGCCGCAGCGAATAAGCAGGTGGAGATGTGCTTTGCAGCTTACGGAGGTATTCAAGGTCAGCTCTCCCCATGGGTAGAATCCGTGGCTGTTGATATGATAGAGTTTGGGAGCCTCAGAAGAATGCCCATTTTATTGCATTCCTGGTCAGTACTCTCTCAGAGGGACCCTTAGGGTCTCCTTCCAGCTGCTCTTCTGAAATGAGGATTCCCCTGGGAGGGGACAGGTAATACTTGCCTAACTCCTTATCATAGATCACATCAGCTGAGAGTCTCGCCCACAGAGGAGCAGCCAGGGGGCAGCCCAGGGGAATGGTGAGCAGTTGCTGCAGACGGCGAGAGGGCTCAGAAAAGGGAGGAGTTACGCCAGATCCAAATGCCAGTTTCATCTGAGTTCCCTCTGCCTGCTGGGAAAGACCGCACTAGCCGGCCCTCCTTCTGGAGCTGTCCTTTCCTGGCTTCCTGACATCCTGAAAGTTCGGCCTCCTTTCTAGGGCTCATCCCTGAGCCCTGTCTTCCAGGATTGTCCCTTTCACTGTCTTCTTAGCTTTTCTTTCTTTTGCCCCAGGCTTTTTGGGCAAGACGGTCTCTGCGCATCCTGTGACAAACGGATTCGTGCCTATGAGATGACGATGCGGGTGAAAGACAAAGTGTATCACCTGGAATGTTTCAAATGTGCCGCCTGTCAGAAGCATTTCTGTGTAGGTGACAGATACCTCCTCATCAACTCCGACATAGTGTGCGAACAGGACATCTACGAGTGGACTAAGATCAATGGGATGATATAGGCCCGAGTCCCCGGGCATCTTTAGAGAGGTGTCCACTGAAGACACCGTCTCCATGGCATCTTCGTCTTCACTCTTAGGCACTTTGGGGGTTTGAGGGTGGGGTAAGGGTTTTCTTAGGGGATGGTAGACCTTTATTGGGTACCAAGGCATAGCATCCAAGTGGCATAATTCAAGGGCTGGCACTTCAAGGTGACAGAGGACCAGCCCTTAAGGGAGAGCTTGCGGCCACAGCCATCTGTGGTAACTGACATGATTAGCAGAAGACAGGAACATTTAGGGGCAAGCAGGCACTGTGTGGTCATGATGGAATTTCATATCCACAGATAGGGAGTTGTTGTGTAAAGACTTGTTGTGACTTTGATGCTTGCAAACTAGAGATGTGCAATTGATTTCTTTTCTTCCTGGGTTTTGTAACACCCCTGTTTCAACGACTGTCCTCCACACAAGGGAAGGACAGAAAGGAGTGGCCATTCTTTTTTTCTTGGCCTCCTTCCCAGGGCCTTAAGCTTTGGACCCAAGGAAAACTGCATGGAGACACATTTTGGTTGAGAATGGAAACCACAACTTTTAACCAAACAATTATTTAAAGCAATGCTGATGAACCACTGTTTTTAGACACCTTCATTTCGAGGTGAGGAGCTCCACAGATTGTTTCTATACAAATATAAATCTTAAGAAAAAAGTTGTTCAACTATTTTATTATCCTAGATTATATCAAAGTATTTGTCGTGTGTAGAAAAAAAAAACCAGCTCTGCAGGCTTAATAAAAATGACAGACTGAAATGCAGTGTTGTTTATTTGATTACGACTTATAATTTGGGATGGCGGGGAAATGCTCTGCTTTTTGTATTGTAAAGGAGAAGTAAATAAGCAATTTACTCTTAGGTCAAATAAAAACTTCCATGGATTGCAAGGTTTTGTATGAGGCAGGCACATTTCTATATTACTGGCAATTATGTAACAGGTCATCATGTAGCTCAGAGGAATGTAGAATAATTAAATTGTTATTGTAAAATATGCATTTCACTTCAGCATTGTATGGAGTGAGTGGAAGGCAAGATCATTGCCTTTGGGAAACTTGTAACCTAGAAAGGACACAAATACATAAAGCAGATTCCCTTTGGGAGAGAAGGTAATTACCTAGTTTGAAATGTGGCAAAGATGCTGAGCTTGACACTTCGATTTTCCAACACGGGCGTCTCAGGGTGTTTTATGACAAGTGGTTAAGAGGACCTTTACTTTGAGGATTTAAAGCAGGCACCTTGGTTTGTGTGTTTGCCTTCACCCGAGTCAGGCCGCCCCCATGAACTGATGCAGAGCGCCACCTGCTGGTCATCACCTCGAAGCGCGCTAGCCCAAGAGGGTCCCAATGAAGGACAAACCTAGATGAAGAAGCAGCTTTTCAATGATTTCCTTAGAGTACTGGGAAATGCAAGAAGTCTAAATGCGTTTAGTTATTAAGACACAAGAAACATGCAGCTAAGGCTACAGTTAACTATAAGATTCCTTTAAAATCTTCCTAAGGTTTGTGATCTTTTTTTAAAAAAAATTTTTTTAAATCCCAGGACAGAGAGACAAATGATTTTTTTTTCTTCTAGTGAGAAATAACGAAGTCACGGCTCTCTTGGTCTGTAAAATGCTAAAAGTGGTTGGGAAATCTGACTGCGTAAGGTGGCCTATTTAAAACAAATCCAGTTACGTTGCATTCCAGCTCACCTGGTGGAAAGGCGCTATCAGAGACGGGATGTTTGTTCTGAGTCAATAGTTCTCAGACTCTCTGGGGACCAGCAGAATCCACATCACCTGGGAACATACTATAATAAAGAAACAGGTTCATGGGCTCCACCCCAGACACCCTAAATCAGAAAATCTGGGGATGGGGTTCAGCAATTTGTGGGGTGTTTGTTTTGAGATAAGATCTCTCTGTGTCCCCCAGGCTAGAGTGCAGTGTCATGATCCTGGCTCGCTGCGGCCTTGACTTCTTGGGCTCAAGCAATCCTCCCACCTCAGCCTCTGTAGTAGCTGAGACTACGGGCCCACACCACCACGCCCTGCTAATTTTTGGATTTTTGGTAGAGATTGGGTTTCCCCATGTTGCTCAGGCTGGTCTTGAACTCCTGGACTCAAGTGATCTACCTGCCTTGGCCTCCCAAAGTGTTGGGTTACAGGCACGAGCCACTGTGTCCCACCTGTATTTTAATAAGCCTTAAAGATGATTCTGACACATGCTCAAGTTTGAGAATGGCTATTCGAAAACAGCTCCCAGTTAGGAAAATCAAGCATTCTAAGTTATTAATATTTGATGCAAAGGTTAATCACGGAAACGCTTCCACATGTAGACACTGTCTACCCTTGGTCCCTAAACTGAAAACTTTCGCCTACATTCGTCACTCATTTGTTCTGCACATCATCTTCAAAATCGATCACAATTTAATTCACCATTTTAAACTATATTTACAGTAATAATAATAATGGTAATAGATTCTATCTGTGCAATCATCTTATAAGTAGCATTAAGTAAAAATACAAATGATCATTGCGTTGGAAATGTAAACTTTATTCTTAATCCCCATTGTAGCACAACACACATTAAGATTCAGGAAATCAGCCAATATTTTTGTCATGCTCAACAAAGCAATAATTGACCTTTTCCATTTGTCAATGGCACCGTCTTGCAGAACTGTGGATGCGCAGGCAGTCTTTGTAGCATATCACCTCGGGGGCCCAAATATCTAACCCACAACTGACTTAAGAGGAAAGACGTGTAAAGAGACTCAGAGGGACCAGCTCCCAAGGTCTACCCTGGTGGTTCTTGCATGAATGTGTTACCGTGTGTGCTCTAGACCCAGGGTCAGGAGAACTGACAATCTGCTCTCTTCCCTGGTCCGTGCCTTCATTAAAGCAGTTGGCTGGAACATTTTTCTTCCTCTTATCTCTTGAATGTCTTTTACTGCAAACCAGCTTCCTTTTATTGCTGCTTCTAAGACAACTACTACTTTTCGGGAAAACTTGGAATCCTACAAAGTTAAAATAGAACAAGCATCTAGGAGCTTTATCATCTGAAGACTTGGATTTGAATTCCAGTGACATGACTTTAATTGCTTAATAACCATTTACACAGCACTTGCCATTTGCCAGGCCCTCTTCTAGTTTTACATATATTAACTCCTTGAGGCCACATAACCTGCCTCGGTGGCAGTTTCTACTGCTTATCACCTGCATTGTGCTGCCAAGGAAAATGAAGCACAGATGGTTAAGCAACTTTCTAAGGTCCTGCGGCTGAGAAGTGACAGAAGTCGCTTTAACCAAGGTGCTTCACCCTGCGCCCTGCTGCTCTCTCGAAGTCTCACCTCACTGAACAGCAGGTTTCCCATCTGCAAAAGAGGGAGCATGAACACCTTCCATCCCAGATTATTTGGGGATATTTGAGTTTAGTCTAGGCAGAAATGTAAACAAAGCACAACGATACAGGATTAGCACCTCAATAAAGCAATGTAAAAAGTGCTCTGGAAACGCAGATAAGGGAACAATTAAATTGGCCCAAGCCTGTCTGTCTGGAGTAAAGAGGAAGTGACATTTGAAATGGCCTTGGACTTGGAAGAGCAAAGACTTGGGGACCTTGACTTGCAGCATGAGTATTTCAGTGAGCCCAGTTTGTGTACAGGCATTGGCTGGAGGCCAGCCGGTGAAGGGCTTAAATTTTGATGCTGTCACTTTCTGGTGGGGTGCCCTTAATTTCCAGTTTCTACAAGATCTGGGTCCTGTGGACATTGCTGACCTGTGACTTGACCTTGGACCCTCAGCTCAAGCCCCTCCTCTTCCAGGTAGCCCCCTCAATCTCCAATTTACAGCTACTCATCCAATCATTCTCAAACTTCAGTACTAGAAATCTTCTAATTAATAGGAGAAACTATGAAGATGCTGGCTCCTGGACCAAACTGCAAATCTGCAGAATCAAGATCTCTTGGATGGGACCCAGGAATCTACACAGTCATCAGGAAACTCCTCTTCCTTTGTTGCTGCTAAACCCTGAACCCTGAGTTCCACAAACTCAGGGACAGTCTCTGGTTTACCCTTTCCAGACTGTAGCACCTGCCTGGCACATAGTGCCCAAGATACTTCCCTCCTTCCTTCCTTCCTTCCTTCCTTCCTTCCTTCCTTCCTTCCTTCCTTCCTTCCTTCCCTTCCTTTCTTTTCCCTTCCTTCCTTCCTTCCCTTCCTTTCTTTTTCTTTCCTTCCTTCCCTTCTCTTTTTTTCCTTCTCTTCCTTTCCCCCTTCCCTTCCCTCTCTCTCTTTCTCTCTTTCTTTCTTCCTCTTTTTTTTTTTTTTGAGACAGGGTCTTGCTATGTCACCCAGGCTAGTTTCGAACCCCTGGGCTCAAGCGATCCTCCTGCCTAGCCTCCCAAAGTGTTGGGATTACAGGTCTGAGCCACCATGGCTAGCCTGATTGTTATATTTTCTTTGTTTTATTTAAAACTTTGTTCTCTAGTTCTTTCTTTTCTTTTCTTTTCCTTTCTTTTCTTTTTTTGGTGGAGTCTCACTCTGTGGCCCAGCCTGGAGTACAGTGGCATGATCTTGGCTCACTGCAACCTCCACCTCCTGGATTCAAGAGATTTCTTCTGCCTCAGCCTCCCGACTAGCTGGGATAACAGGCATGCACCACCACACTTGGCTAATTTTTGTATTTTTTTGTAAAGATAGGGTTTCACCAGGCTGGTCTCGAACTCCTGACCTCAGGTGATCTGCCCACCTCGGCCTCCCAAAGTGCTGGGATTACAGGCATGAGCCACCACTCCCCACCTATTCTCTACTTTAAAACCTGATTTGAGAAGAAGGCCTTTTCTGAAACTAGCCTGTAAGTTCTTTATCATCGCCAACAGCATTTAGGCCAGTGTCACGCATGTGGAAAAGAAGGAACAAATATTTATGGCATGAGTAGCTAAGACAGAGGGCCAGTAAGTAAATAAATAGGGAAGATGAGGTTTTCTATAATTTTAAGACTAAATGGTAAATCAAAATCAAAGTAGGGAGTAAAACCCAGGAATTTGCAGGGAAGGGGCAAGGAAGATAGAAGTTAAGCCTGCAGCATCCTGTTATGCCAGAAAGTAAGGAAATAGTAAAAACTAAATAAATAAATGAAATGAAAAAAATGATGTAAACATGTCATAAAGACAAAGGAGCCAGCTTAAAGAGGCTCTCAATAGCCAAATCTAAGACAATTTGATTATCAAAACAATTAAGGACAGTAATGAATTAAGGATAGTAATGAGTTTTAAGCATGGCAGGGGGCAGAATTCATGAGTTTATACCAGTAATAAATAAATGAGGGAGAAGGAAGGACTCATGTTTACAGCAGAATCTTGAATGCCAACTGGTAAATGGGAAGACAGCATGAGAGCTGGAAAAATCGTTTTGCAACTGTGACAGTTAAGATAGAATCAAGCAAGCATTATCAATAAATGGTAAATTTCAACAGAGAAACAAAGAGCAAGATATGGATATTTGGATGGTCTTCAAGTACCTTCCCATATATTCCTCACTAGTTATAAGAAGGAAAAATGCTAATTACACAGTAGAGAAATTGAATAGCACCTTGACCAGGTGATCTACGTGGGGCAGATGAGCATCCCAGGCCTCCAGATATGATATCCTGAAAAGGACACAGGATCACTCTTTTTAATAGTTCTGCTGAGAATATATAACGTGTCTCATTATGAGACAAATTATTAGACGAACCCAAAATGATGAACATTCTAGTTTTAAAAGTTGGTGGGGGGGGAGTGTGGA